CAGAGTGGAATGATGAATGAAAATCTTCACAGACAAAAGCTAGTAAGCTGGTAAGTGTGAAAAACATCCTTAAACTACACTTGCTGGCTCCCAAGAAGAATAAAGATTTATTTTCTCCTCTGCTGCCATTACTGATTCAGGAATATTAGGAGATAGGTGTTACTTTTTTTTAAATAGTTATGGGACAATCAATTTGGTGGTAATTAAAGAGGCGGGTAATGCCATGCCATCAGATTTCGTGATTGCCAGGGAAGCCGGCTCCATGTGGTTTGGCCAGCTTGATTGTGATTGGCCGGGAAAACGGCTTTCCAGCCAATCAGCATGGAGCCGGCTTCCCGGCCAATCAGAAAGCCAGAAGGGGGTCATTACTCGCCGCCCAGCTTCCTGATCGCACGGGAAGTTGGCCTCATGTTCCCCTACGGCACTGCCGGTCAGAGAAAATCTTCCTTTGACCAGAAGTTCCGGTATCTGGGAAGTTATTGGAGCATTTGGGCGGCGAGTACGAATACTTGCCCAAATACTTGGTATCGGCACCGATACTAGTATCGGTGCATCCCTATACAGAACACAACAAATTCCGCTTAAAATAATAATGGGGTAATTTACTAAAGAAGTAAACATTTATTTAGGCCATGTAATCTATGCTCACATTAAACATGGATCCATTTGCAGCTAAATTTAAAAAAAATAGAAACTTATAAAAGTTATTAAAAGCTAAGTGAATTGGTGGTATTGATTTACTAATTCCTTTAGTAAATCAACACCAGCGCATTACTATTATAATTTCATGTTGCATAATCCATACTATAAGCCCATTATTTTCTATACTTTGCTAAAAATGAAAATCTTTTTTTTAAAAATGGAAATTGAAGTAGTTGCAAGAATCCCCATTTCTCAGCTCCTCAAATGGGCTTACCGCCACTCCTTAAAAGTAGGGATGCACCGATATATCGGCCGAAAATTGCACTTTTGGCATAATGCCGAAAGTGCCATTTTCCTGCCGATACATCGGCGCATCCATTCTTTCTCTCCTCACCGCTAGGCGCTGCTCTGTGTCCCAGCGGGGAGGAGAGAAACTGATAGCCGGCCGAGCGCTGCGAGAGGAGAGCGATGTGAGCGGCCGGTGTCTCTCCTCCCACACCGCTGAGCCTCCTATCACAGACCAGCAGAGTGGTGTGGGGGCGGAGACAGGCCGTGCTGTCACAGGAGGCTGAGCTCTCCTCCGTATACCGCTCGATCAGCCTCCTGTGACAGCGTGTCAGAGAGGAGAGCAAGCTACAAACACTCAGTGATCGCTGAGTGATTGAGGACATGGTATGTATACTGTATCCTCAATTATGAGTGAATGGAAAGTGATCTACATCCCCTCCTGTTCATTCATAGTTGTAGTTATAGTAAACATACTATGTTATCAATGAACAGGAACATCGAGGATTCCTGTTCCTTGATAACAGGGGACACAGAAAAAGAGACTGATGACTTTGTGTTCTCAATCTCTTTTTCTATTTTAAAAGGGAAAAATCAGGGGCCTGTTTAGACCCCCAATATTTCCCCGAAGCCCCTAAAAGTAATGTAAACAATAAAAATATTTAA